TGATGATGATGATGATGATGATTGGGATGATGACGATGATGATTTTGATGACGATGACGATGATGATGCTGTTGCTGATGATGCTGCTGCTGCTGATGATGATGATGTTGATGATGATGCTGCGGATGCTGATGATGCTGATGATGATGATGATGATGATGATGATGATGATGATGATGATGATGATGATGCTGATGACGCTGATGCTGATGCTGATGCTGATGCTGATGCTGATGGTGGTGATGATGATGCTGCTGCTGTGATGCTGCTGCTGCTGCTGCTGATACTGATGATGATGCTGCTGCTGATGATGATGATGATGATGATGATGATGATGATGGTGGTGGTGGTGGTGGTGGTGATGGTGGTGGTGGTGGTGATGGTGGTGGTGTGAGGAGGAGGAGGAGGAAGAAGAGGAGGAGGAGGAGGAGGACGAGGAGAAGGAGGAGGAGCAGGAGGAGGGAGGAGGGAGCAGGGAGGAGGGAGAAGGGAGGAGGGAGGAGGGAGGAGGAGGAAGAGAGGAGGGAGGAGGGAGGGGGAGGTGGACTGGGAAGGGGAGGGAAGGAGGAGAAGGAGGGATGAGGGAGGGAAAAGGAGGGAGGAGAGAGGATGGAGGAGGTGGAGGAGGAGGAGGAGAGGAGGAGGAGGAGGACCATCAGGAGGGAGGGAGGGAGAGGGTGGAGGGACGGATGGGGAACGAGGAGTAGCAGGAGGAAGAGGATCAGTATCCGCGGAGAGAGAATAGGAGAGGAGGAGAAGGAGGAGGAGGAGGAGGAGGAGGAGCAGGAGCAGGATGCGGAGGATGTGGAGGAAGAGGAGGATGAGAAGGACGAGGAGGGATATTCTCATGAGGAGCAGGAGGGAAAGGAAGAGGAGTGAGGCGCAGAGTGTGGTCGAGGAAAAGCAGGAGGGGTACGCGGAGGGAACGGATGAGGAGTATGAGGAAGACGAGGGGAATGTCCTGACCGTCGGTGCAGTTCTTCGGCCCCCCCCCCCAGGAGGCGATGGTAGGCCTCTTTAGCGACTGGCGCGAGCTTAAGGCGGGGAGCGGCCAGCCATAATTCTTCCTCCCCTCATCCTCCTCCCTTCTTCCTCCTTCTTCCTCCCCTCTTACTCCTTACTCCTCCCTCCTTGCTCCTCCCTCCCCCGTTTCCTGTTTCACGCTCTCTCCATCCCCTATTTCGCATTTCCTCCCTCTCCTCCCTCCTCCCCCTTCCTTCTCTTCTTCCTCTCCTCTCCTCTCCTCCTTCCGCCCTCCTCCCTCCTGCCTCCTGCCTCACTCCTCCCGCCACCCACCCTCTCCTCCCCCCTGAGGCAAGCACGCGCGCGACACCCAGAGAGGAGGGCAGAAGGAGGAGGAGGAGGAGGAGGAGGAGGAGGAGGAGGAGGAGCAAGAGGAGGAGGAGGAGGAGGAGGAGGAGGAGGAGGAGGAGGAGGAGGAGGAGGAGGAGGAGGAGGAGCGTATGCCTCGGATAGGTGGGTTCGGGGAGCGCTGCTGGACTTTTGCTGCAGTGAAACAGCGGTAGAAAACTGACTGCTTGTTGTTTGTCGCTGCTGACATCACTGCAGGTTCGGCTCTTGTGGACAACAACTGGTTCACGCCGGTTCGGCTTGGCCCAGTTCGGTTTGGGCGGTTCCGGTTCGGCTCGGCTCGGCTTCAGAACCACCCTGCGAGCTCGAGATGCGCACGGTTACGCTATAGGCAAGTCGGATGCGCGGCCGCACGGCGACGACACCGACCACGACGACGGTGACGACAATCGTGACGACGTCGATCACGGCGTCGACCACGACGCCGACGCCGACCACGAGGACGCCGACGACAACGGCGGCAACGGCGACGATGATGCGACGACGACGACGGCGACCACGACGACGGTGGCGGCAGCGGCGCTGCAGGTGGCGTCGGCGCCTGGCGACGGGGCCACCGTGCTGGGGGAGCTGGTGCGCCTGGTGCAGCAGATCCGCGGGCGGCGGTGGGCCGGGCCGTGCGCCTGCAGGGGGCAGAGGGCGCGGGTGTCCAGCGGCCCTCCCGTGCGCCTGGCCCCAGGGCGCGGAGGCAAGGTCGCGCGCCTCGCGCGCCGCGGCCTCTCAGCGCCCAGCATGGGACCCCCAAGCGCGGCCTCACGGTGGTGAGGCAGTTGGAAGCCCATGCCCATGCCAAGAAGCACCCCGCTTGCCTCCAAAGTGCATTGGGTTTCTTGGGTTTCGATGGTTCTGCGACAGAGAGCGTGACGTTCTCACGCAAAAAACATTGGACGTCCTGGGATCTCAGGGTTGGGTTTCTTGTGGAAGGTTTCTTGTGGACTGGCCTGCACAGTATTGCCGAATGGGTTCCTTCGGCAGCAAGTCTTGGGGGACTTGTATGTCCTCGCGCTTCCGTCTTCAGGGTTGCGTTAGCGCCGATCAGTGTCCGCGAACCGGTGAGATGCGCTGATTTAGCGTCGATTGGCGTCGAGCAGCGTCGAGTGGCGTCGACGAGCGACGATTTAGCGTTGTT